TCCACACTTTCACAAAGACTTTCTGGTTGTTAGTATTCAGGCATCTGTATTGGCCTGTCCTTGGGGTCCTGAACGGAAGTCTTCAGCTGCAGCCACTGAGAGCACCCCCTGTGCGCGCATTCTCTTTTAAGAGGTGTGTTATCATTTTGCTGACCTTCCCTGTCTCCTGGATACCCTGTCCCTTTAAGTCACAAGCTCTGCCCACCCCCAGTCCAGCCCCTTCCAGCCTAGGCAAATTGATCTCCCACCCCTCCCTCCCTCCCTCTTTCCCTCCCTCCCTCCCTCCCTCCCTCCCTCCCTCCTCCCTCCCCCCTCTCTCTTCTCTCTTCACTCCATAGTCTCGTTACCCATTAAATAAACTCTATACCTGCTCTCTCTTCCATGGCGTATCTGTCTCCCTCCCTCCAGACCGGGTCTCCCACTCAGGGGACCTCCCAGGATCGTGCCTCTGTGAACCTTTCAGGTGGGCCTTGCCCCCCCTCCTGTCTGTCTGTCTCTCTCTCTCTCTCTCTCTCTCTCTCTCTCTCTCTCTCTCTCTCTCTCATTTCCAGGGATGGATCTCAGCCCCCACCCTGTCTGCCCCCCCCCCCCCCCCCCCCCCCCCGTCTTTGCCCCTTCTACCCCTTTTTCATCTCTTTCTCTCTCAATAAAGCTGTGGGAGCCTTGTTGCATGGTGTGACTTCCGAGGTGTTTTTAAATAAATTGCAGCACTGGTAATAATGACATTATGGAGATAAGGAAAGCTCCCAGTGATCTCGTAGTGGATTGACTTTAACACACCCGATATCACTGACTTGCCTTTTTATTTTAGATAATCTCATAAAGATTTTAGGTCTCACAGCACCACCCCCTCCCCACACCTGGGAACATACCATATGCAGACTTTCGGTGTTTTCCCCCAACCTTCTTGCTCTAAAGGTAAAAAAAGATCCAATTTCCAGGGGTTCCCTACCTAGTTTTGCTAGAGGCTGTATTGGAGGAGAGCCTGTGAAAGAATGTCCCACACTGACTATCCTGAATATCTTTAGCACCGTCCTCTAAAGAGAGGCCTCCTTTAAGTTCTTCATAAAATTTCATTTTCCATGGAACGTTCTATAGCCAGTCAATTCACCAACCAACTGAAGGGGTTATATAAAGACATTTTTCTTTTCATTTATTTATTTGGTCTTTTTGAGACAGTCTTTATTACGTAGCTCTAGCTGTTCTGGAATTTGCTATATAGACCAGGCTGGCTCCAACTCACAGAGATCTACCTGCCTCTGCCTTCTGAGTGCTGGGACTAAAGGCATGCACCACCACACCTCACACAAAAAGGCATTTTTCTTGACTCTTAATACTTTGTCTCCAAAAGTTGGGAGTGGTGACATGAATCTGTAATCCCAGTCGTTGGGAAGCTGAGGCAGGAGAACAGCAGAGTTCAAGGTGAACCCTGGTTATATAGCCAGACCTTGTCTCAATCCCACTCCAAACACACACCATACACACACACACCATACACACACACACCATACACACACACACCATACACACACACACCATACACACACACACACCATACACACACACACACCATACACACACACACCATACACACACACACACCATACACACACACACCATACACACACACACCATACACACACACACACACCATACACACACACACCATACACACACACACACCATACACACACACACCATACACACACACACCATACACACACACACCATACACACACACACCATACACACACACCATACACACACACACACCATACACACACACACCATACACACACACACCATACACACACACACCATACACACACACACCATACACACACACCCACACACCCTTACCACTTCCATCACCAACTTGGGTCTTTTTTTTTTTGTATCTCTCTCTCTCTCTCTCTCTCTCTCTCTCTCTCTCTCTCTCTCTCTTATGTACCCCAGGAAAGCCAAGGAATTAGTCAAACACAGAACCTTAAGGGAGTACCCTTCACAGAGGACGTTGGTAAATGGAGGCCCAGTGGTGACACTTGTGCAGCAAGGCTGGAGTGACAGCTAAACCGAGGCGAGCAGGCTGGGGGCACCTGGGATGCAGCAGGTCTCCAAGAACACAAGGAGGGAGAAGAGGGAAATGGGTGGAGAGCTTGGAAAAAAGCTTGACACTATACAGATTTAAATTGTGTAATAAAAGCGACCAGCAACTGTCGAAGAAAACCAAATCAGAAGCAAACGTAGTCCTGGAGCAGATGGCTCCCTACACTGAAACAAAAACAAACAGCAAAAAGCCAACACTTGCAGCAGCCCAACAAGGAATGCATTCTTCAGTGAAATTTGAGACATCCTGCAGAGGAAGGGCAGGTGACTCTCCTGTGGTCACAGAACAGCCTTAGGGTGCTGTGGTGGAGTCTGTGACGCACGTTCAGGTGTGAAAGAGCGGGTACCCTCAGGTGTTGAAAGTCCTCTAAGCCTGAGGTTCCCTAGGGAACGGCAGAAAGATCCCTGGTGTGAAACTCTGCTGTTATTTCTGCCCAGTCCTGCTCCTTTCCATCCTGGGCCAGCAACAAACTCACTTTCTGGTCTGTGTTCGGGTCTGCTTCTGGCAGCACCTGCCTCTTGTGCTTGAGTTTTGACATGGGCTCCTCAACACGGAAATAGTTGGGATTTAAGAGCTGGACTATTAGCCTCCTGTACCCTATCTGAATTGTCCTAGGGCAAGCTAACAGTGCAATGTTAAATACCTTCACAGTATTTAACTTAAGTGGTAGTTGGAATGGAAATGGGTTAGCTGAGATGGAGCAGATGTTAGAGGTGCAAAAAAAAAAAAAAAAAAAAAATGGTGACCACAAGACTATTGCCAAGCTTGATAGCACTTTGAGAAAGGATAACAAAGCTAAGTGACCCACCAGCAACTGTAGATAAATATGGAAGCCAAGAGCCCTGCACAGCAGAGATTGCTACAAATAGGAGGATTAGGTAAATAAGGAACTCCATAGATAATAAAAACCAGACTTCTCACTGTTGAGAATAAATTTATAAATATAAAAAAGGATGTATCAGTCAGGGCTGTCTAGAGACCCAAAACCAAGACATTTGCATAGATACAAAAGAAATTTATTACATGCCTTGCCTCATGCAGACAGGAAGCCAAGAAACACCTCAACATGTGGTCTGGAAAATGAGTTTAGTCTGTGTCTGAAAGTCGGTGAATCAGAGAAGCTGGCGGTCTGTTTCCTAGTCCAAGATCAAAGGCAGGAGAGAGAAATAGGAGATAAAGAGGTAGGGGCGGTACAGGTAGGTCTACGACCTAGAACCAGGAGTCCAATGTCTGAGGGTAGAAATAAATGTCACTGCTCAAGGAAAGTGAGAGAAAGTTCTCTTTGTCGCTGCTGCTCTTTTTTTCCCACTTGAAACTGGGATGAACTGGATGGTGCCCACCCATGTTTCTTAGGGCAGATCTTCTTTACTAATCTGAAAAATACCCCAGACTCACCTACAAATGTTTCTGCCAGCATTCTGGGCATCGCTTATGCAAGTTGTCACGTAAATAAATGACACAAAATCCATCCTTATAAGTAGAGGAAAAAACCTCTGGAGTGCTGGATTGGAACCAGAGACATTGCTGTAAGCTTGAATTTTATTTCTTAAAAAACGATTTATGTGTATGCATATATGTCTGCTGATCTTATATGTATATGTGCAGGAACCCAAAGAGGGTGCTGGATCTTCTAGAATTGGAGCTATAGGCAGCTGTGAGCTGCTATATGGATGTGGAGAACTGAACCTGGGTCCTCTGAAAGAGCAGCAAGTGCTCTTAATTGTTGAGGCGTTTTATTTCTTCTTAGTAGTCTATATTAATATAGAAAAACATGGATTTCATCAATCATATTCACCTCCTTCTTTCCCAATCCTCTGAATTCCAATGAAAATTTGTGTTTTAAATGAACCTAAAAGTATAAAATATAAACATGTATTTATATGTGTGTATGGGTTTTATGCATAATTTCCTAGATCCTTTTCTTTGTAGGCTCTAGAAGCAATGATATTTCAGTAGCAATGAGCACACAATAGGCTTTGGATTTTGGTTTCAAAATCCACTCAGCCCTTGGGAGGTAAAGTCAGGATGATCAACATTATTTTCAGCTACATAGTCTGAGGCCAGTCTGTGTTGCAGGAAATCTATGTTGAGAGGAAGGGAGGGAGGAAAAGAAGAAGAAAGAGAAGACATGACCTCAGGATCCCTAAGGTGGTATAAAAACTGATACTTGGTAGTGTGGATATAGAACCCCAGTGCAGTGGAGGTGGAGACAGGAAAATCCTCAGGACTTGTAGTTGTTTTGTTTTTTTTTTAAATCTCTATTGCTCTTTGGAGGGCCTGCCATCCAGCTCCCAAATAAATCACACAATGAGACATCTGAATCACATGTATTTGGTACATGACATGCAAGTGAAGAAAGCACTTGTACACACACATACAACAAATCTGAAAAAAGTGTGGAGTAATAGGGGAAGACTCCTGAAGCCAACCTTTGGTCTGCACTTGCAGATGCACGCTTATACATCTATGCACAGTGCATGCTCAAACGATTACACTGAGTGAAACGCATACATACATATATTTTTGAAACATTGAATATAGTTATCTTTCTCAGTAGTTGGGGAATCAGCTGTGAACATGTTGTGATACAGATATTTAGAAGGATGGTAAACAGTTTACTATGCGACAGATAATTAAGGAACTCTGAGTGTCCTCCCCAAGGCCTGAGGCGCCAAAGCAATTCTGGGAAGATGCTTAGCTAAGTGGGGTGCGGACACTGGCATCAGTGAGCTAAGGTCCTAAGCCTCTTGCTTGCATTGTGGAGTAAAAGGTGACGGCGACAGCAACGCTAAGGAATCTCAAAGAGAGCCGGTGGCAGGCACATACACAGCCAGCCCCGCCGCCGACCTCCCGCCACAGGTGTCGCTGTGCGCTCGTGCGCAAGCCGGGGGAGCTGCGTTGCCCGGGAGCCGGCGCTCGAGCCCAGCGGGGGGGGTTTCAGTTTCTGGCGCGAACTTCCGCCGCTCCGAATTTGCAAGGCAAATTGGCGCGATGTCTGGAGATGGCAGTGGCCGCCGGTCCGAGGGTCGGGGTCGGGGCCGCGACCCGCACCGGGATCGCACCCGCTCCCGTTCCCGCTCGCGGTCTCCGCTGGTCCGCCGCGGCTCCGCGCCCGAGCGCAGGGAGGCAGCGGAGCGCCCGAGCTTGGAGGACACCGAACCGTCTGATTCCGGGGACGAGCTGATGGACCCGGCCTGTTTGGAGGCCGAGTACGATCAGGGCCTATGCCGCCAGATCCGCCATCAGTACCGCGCTCTCATCAACTCCGTCCAACGTAAGGTGGCGCTTTGGGGCTGCGCGGGCCGGCGGCGTTCGTGACTGGGGAGGGTGGCGGGAGAGGCGGGGGCAGGCGAGTGGCGCGGGCTGCTGGCTTCGTTTGTTTACTCAGGGCACCCTACGCGACCTTGGCGGCGGGCGCGCAGGTGGAAAAGCGGGAGGTCAGATCTGGTGGTGACTTAACTTGCTTGAACTCAGCCAGCCAGTAGGGAAGACAAACAAAATAATAAGCACCGGGTGCTTTTTGTTGAATCCAGCGTGGCCGCCTGAGTACAGAGTCCCTCGGGATTGTTAAAATACGCTTTACTTTTTCCATCTCGGATGCACTGCATCAGAAATGCTGGGTAGGCCCATGCGTTTGTTGCGTGGCTCTCCATGTAACCCTGTTGCTTGCTAAATTTGACAACCGCTTCTTAATCTTAGCCTCAGTTGAATTAAGGGCACAGGGAGCGAGTCTTTCCTGTTCAGGTTGCAGGGGCTGAGGATATGGCTGAGTGCTTCTCTTGCAAGGGTGATGACCTGGGTTAGATCCCCAGAACCCACCAAAAAAATGTCGAACTAGTGGTGCACATTAGTGCCCCGGGGAAGCAGAGTCTCTGGGTCCCCCCACAGGTTAGCCCGCCCAGCTTCATTGGCTGGTTCCAGGTTAGTGAGACCTGGTCTAAAAGTTCTGATGAGATGAGGGAAAGACACCTAAGGCTATGTGCCCTGGCCTTGTGAACACACAAAAATTCAAGCGGCTTGAAACAGTAGCATTGCCTCTTTCTGTACAACTTGTTTAAAAAGATAAGACATTGGGGGCTGGAGAGATGGCTCAGTGGTTAAGAGCACTTACTGCTCTTCCAGAAGTCCTGAGTTCAATTCCCGGCAACCACATGGTGGCTCACAGCCATCTATAATGAGACCTGGTGCCCCCTTCTGGCTTGCGGGCACACATGAAAGGAATGCTGTACACATAATAAATTAAAAAAAAAAAAAAGATAAGACATTTCAAATAATTCCCCAGGAAGTGGGAGTGGGACTTGCCGGCAGTGCTGTTAAGTGACAACTGGCAGTTACTTATTAGTGAAGGATGAGCACAATGCCCTAAGTTTGTATTCTCTTACATAGAAAACCGGGAGGACATACTGAATGCTGGTGACAAATTAACAGAGGTCCTTGAAGAGGCCAACACTCTGTTTAGTGAAGGTAATTGATGATTTTTAAAATATGTTGTCATACTGTATACTCACCGAATTACTTTCATACAAACAAATCGTCATTCCACAATTCCCCTTTACTAGGGCACTTACCAGGCCCAGAACCCTTTCCTTGTTAACAACATTACTTTCGCTGTGTGCTTACTACCATTTGGCTCAGCATTTACTTAAGGGTTCTTTATAAGTTTCTGGGAGATGGGGAGGGTCCAGCACTCAGGAGGCAGAGTCAGCTGGATCTCTGAGTTCAAGGCCAGCATGATCTGCAGAGTCAGTTCCAGGACAGCCAGGGCTACACAGAGAAACCCTGCCTCAAAAAACAAAAACAAAAATAAAAAGGTTTCTTCCTGTGAACCTTTTGGTGGTCTGAACTTGAGAGCTTTATGTGTGTGTTTCATTTACTGAATAGATCAGTTAGAGAAGAATGCAGCTAGCCTCAGACATCCTGTTCCTTTTCCTGTCTTTCTCATCTCCTCTCTCTTAGCTGTCCGTCCACCTATAACCCAGTGGAGGTGGCCATGTCTACAAGTGTACTGTCTGTCCATGGTGGGAGGTACTGGAGGAAAGGCATACACTTTAGGGCGTTGCAGTCTGGCTCCTGGGAGTTCTTCAGGTTTTGTTTTAAATTACATGTGTTTGTGCCTCCCGTGCACATGAGTGCAGTGTCTATGGTGGCCAGAGAGGGTAACAGATTCTCTCCCTGCTGGAGCTGGAGTTACAAAGGGGTTTGTGGGGTTGTGAGTTACCTGACACCCGTGTTGGGTATCAAGCTCAGGGCCTCTGGAAGAGCAGTAACTCCGTGTTAGCTGCTGAACCTCCTCTCCAGTCCCATGATGATAGAGTTTTAAACCACAGTCTTGCTTTCAATTAAAAGCAGCAGTGGTGATGGAGGTGGGGGTACTCCCTGATGTGAGCCCCAGGACAACCACACAAACCATGCCCTCTTCAGGCCCCTTGCACTGCTATGGAAACAGAGCGGGGTAACTGCAGTGATAATGATTGTTTTGTTCCCTGCTAACCACAATTCATGTTTTTGAGGACTAGTCACATCTAGTTGACTAGTGTGCTTGTTTTTGTAGAGTTGACTCAGTGCTCCGTGTCTTCTTGCTCTGGCCATGACCTTCGTACAGTCTCCTTTCTTGGTCGAGCATATACACTAAATCACCTCCAGAAGCTGAGGACCTGGGCTTCCTCTTCTGCCTGGAACAGATCCTTTCTCCACTATCAAGCTTCTTCCATCCCTTGCCTTGACTCAGTTCCCCCATTTTAATTGCTTATTTGCTCCCCCACTGTCTACTGTACTTCTTACTGACTTCATCCACATGCGACCTCCCTCAGCTACTGCCCATGTTTAAAGCAGAAGACAAAACCATTCACTCAACTGGGCCTCAAGAGTTTCTCTGCTTGGCATCCATAGTTGTTACACCTGTTGTAATTCTTCAGAGAACTTTCCCTCATCCAGACAGGATATTAGCACTTTTCTTGTGGTGGCCAATGGAGGTGTTGGGCAAGGGCGGTAGAGACTAGAGCCTAGCAGCCAGCATCTGCTTCCTCTTTCCTCACTGTCACTTCTGCTATGACTATTTATTTTTGCTTTTTCAATACCAAGTTTCACAGTGTAGCCCTAGCTATCCTGGGACTTGCTCTGTAGAACCAGGCTGGTCTCGAACTCACAGAGATCCACCTGTCTGTCCCCTGAGAGCTGGGATTAAAGGCCTGCACCACCGCTGCCTGGCTTAAAGCTGCCTGGCTTTGTAGTGACTCTTGATATGATTAGACTCTTTCCTTCTGTGAAGAAAAGTGATGGATAAGAACAGAAGCCAGAGTCAACAAGCTCCCTGACTGTATGTTTGCTACTTGTGTGAGGATTATTCAGGAGCTCAGTGTCTCAAATGAAAGTGACCCTGAGGGGCATGCTGGGCTCGGGCATTCCTGTTTGAATCTGCCAGGGTTGGTTTGTCTTGTTTTATATTAGTTTTCCTGGACTACTATTCCAAATTCTCTGGGACCCATTAGGGGCTGTTAAACCCAGCTCCCTTAGCTCTGCTATGTTCTTCAGTTGAATGATTGTTCTCCTCCGTAGATTTCGTAACATCTCTCCTTACCTGTAGTGGACATTCCATTTGAGTTACATCAAGTCAGGTGAGGATGGTGATTAGAATATGTGAATCGCCATGGTGGTAGTGCGTGCCTTTAATTCCAGCAAAGCTAGGGGATCTCTGAGTCTGAGGCCAGCTTGGGCTGCAGTTCCAGTATAGCCAGGGATATGCAGAGAAACCCTGTCTCACCACACACACACACACACACACACACACACACACACACCCCAAAGGAAGGAAGGAAGGAAGAGTTAGTCAGAGAGAGGTGTTATGCACCACACAAGTTTTTGTTATATTGGAGTTACGAAGAGATGATGGTTCAGTGGGGGCTGGAGAGATGGCTCAGCGGTCAAAAGCACTTACTGCTTTTGCGGAAGACCTGGATGTGATGCCCAGCACCCATGTGTCGGCTCATAACTATCTGTAACTCCAGTTCCAGGGGATAGGTTGACCACTTATGATTTCCATGGGCATCAGGCTCACATAGGCTGCAAATTCAAACATGCAGGCAAAACATTCACACACAAAATAAATCTAGAAGAAAAAAATTAAGAAATTCTGGGGTTGGGCTGGAGAGATGGCTCAGTGGTTAAGAGCACTGCCTGCTCTTCCAAAGGTCCTGAGTTCAATTCCCACATGGTGGCTCACAACCATTTGTAATGAGGTCTGGTGTCCTCTTCTGGCCTGCAGACATACACACAGACAGAATATTCTATACATAATAAAGAAAGAAAGAAAGAAAGAAAGAAATTCTGGGGTTTACCAGGTGTGGCGGCACAGGCCTTTAATCCTAGCACTCTGGAGACAGAGGCAGATGGATCTCTGTGAGTTCGAGGCCAGCCTGGTCTACAGAGTGAGTCCCAGGAGGGCCAGGGGTACACAAAGAAATTCTGGTTTGGTAACGAGGAATCTGAAAAAGAGAGAGTAAGCAAGCTTTAAGGAAGACTGATCAGCTGTGGTTGAGATTTTAGTGAAACGGGGAGGGAACCAGTTTTTAGATGTCCGTGGGTCCATTTCCAGCCTACCGAGGCTTCTTTTGCCCCAGTGGAAAGATACTAATAGGTACTTGGGAATTTGGGAAAATGTCTGTGATTTGTGCATGTTTGTTAACATGTATTTCTTGCTCTACAGTATCAAGAGCAAGAGAAGCAGTTCTAGATGCCCAGTTTCTCGTTCTGGCTTCAGACTTGGGCAAAGAGAAAGCTAAACAGCTGCGCTCTGACCTAAGCTCATTCGACATGTTAAGATACGTTGAAATGCTAGTAAGTTCAGAGTTACAGAATTTTAATTAAATGCCTCTTATAACGTCGTATTATGCGGTTATCTTCTTGCTTGTATCAGTTTGCAGACAGTGTTGACTTTGTTTCCTATTGTTCTGTTTTTTGATCTCTGAGTCCTCCAAGGAGATTTTAGGAAATTAACAGATTAAAGTTGAGCTGTGTGTGGGGTTTGGGGTGGGACTTTGGGCGGTTTGAAACCTCTTAGCTAGCTCTCTCTTCTAAGACTCCAGATGCCCTGGTTGTTTATTAGTGACCATTTCCTCAGGTACTTCATAAGTGTTCCAGGTCATCCGTCCTAGGCTGGACCAGAGCTCACACCACAGAGGTAGGGGTGGGGCGAACTCAGGGTAGATGTAGGCTGGGGATGAGTTAAGCGCTGTTGTATGGTCATTCTGTCTTGGAAAAGATTTTAGAACCATACCAATATGGTGGTTTTGTATTTAATATAGTTTTTAATTCACCTGCCTTTACCTATTAACTAGTTTGACTAGTCAGTACCTTTTCTGATGGATGCGTCCAAAAAAAAAAAAAATTAGAGTTACTATTTTGTTTTGTTTTGAGACAGAGTCTCAGTGTAGTCCTGGCTGTCCTGGAACTCACTATGTAGACCAGACAGACCTGGAATTCACAGAGATCTTCCTGCTTCTGCCTTCGGAGTGCTGGAATTAAAGGCATGTGCTACTACACCCAGCTAAACACCGAATTTTTAACAGTGCTTTTATGCTTAAATGATTATTAGAGTGGGTTAAGCTGTGTGTACTAGGACACACCTGTGATCCTATCTACCTGAGATTACTACCTGCAGGAGGATTGCAGTCTGGAGTCATAGAGAGCCCCTCTTAAAAATTGCAGAAAAAGGGGCGTGGAGGTTCAGTAGTAGAGCACTTGCCTAGCGTGCATAAGACCTTGGTTTAATATCCAATATTAAATCTTAATGTTTTCTTAGAATATTATGAAGTACGGTGTATTTTGAAAATGCTGACTAGTATGCACATGGTATTTTTTTAAAATATTTATTTATTATTTATTATGTATACAATAGTCTATCTGTGTGTAGGCCGAAGGCCAGAAGAGGGCACCAGACCTTATTACAGATGGTTGTGAGCCACCATGTGGTTGCTGGGAATTGAACTCAGGACCTTTGGAAGAGCAGGCAATGCTCTTAACCACTGAGCCATCTCTCCAGCCCTGCACATGGTATTTTTAAAATAAAAATTAGGTTAAGCTTTAACCTTTTCATAACGTCTGGTTAGGGAAGCCTTTGCAAGTGTAACATCACAAGTAAGGCTCTAAGGAAAAGGCTGGGTGTGGTGGTGGTCCATGTCTTAAATTCCAGCACGCCAGTGCCAGAGGCAGGGGGATCTCTGATCTAGTTCCAGGCCAGTCAGGACAGCACAGTAAGGCCCTTTGGAGTGGCTGGCCAAAGAGTGGAGGAGAAGCAATTGCTTCCTCTGACCAGGCCCGGCTGCTTTTTTTTCCTTCACAGTCTGGCTGCTTTGAGGGCTTTCTAATTATTGTTTATAGCCTACTACTACTTTAACTTGAAAACTTGAGCATATTTCAGCCTGCTGTCATGAACGTGCTCTTTCCTGAGAAACAAATTATCTGATACCCACTACGCCTGGCTGTAATACTCCACTTCAGTAAACTAAGAAACAAGAGAATTGCTTGACTCATTGCTAAGTCTCCTCAGGAAGGAAGACTGTTAGAAGTCTCTTCTTGCGCATCCCTGCTCTCTAGATATACCGAGACCCCTTCTAGGAAGTTGGCCGGTCGCTGGGATCTGAGAGCCAGCTAAACTTCCAGTTCCATACTGGAGTGCTTCATTTGGGGGATCTTCAGTTGCCCTGCTAGTTTGCTCCCCATGGAGCTGCCTGTGCTCCAGGAAGCCCCTATGTGCTAATGCCTGCAATTCTCAAGCCACTTAGGCGGGGTGAAAAGGAACAGGGTTTCTTGGCCTCAGCACAAATGACGTTTGGGCTGGGTGTATCTCTGTACTGAATGCTTCTAATGTGCACTATAGGACAGCTTCCCTGGCTTCTGCCCACGAGGTGCCAGAGCATGTCAGCTGTTGACTGTCAAAATGTTTTGTATTGCCAAAAGACCCCTTAGGGGCAAATCACCGGTTGAGAACTGTTAAGCTAAATTGTCTCACTGTCTTCAATATTTCTTCACAAAATAAAAGGGACTTTTGAATGGGAATTTATATGTAGAGTTATCTTTGCAATAAGAAGTTGAGCTAGTCTGAAGAGGCTCTCCCTCTAGCCTCTTTATTGAATTTGGTGAATGGTTGTAGTTTAACTGTTTTTTTTTCCCTTCATTTTTTTCTGTAGCTGACGCATATGGGTGTAAATCCGCTAGAAGCTGAAGAAGTCATCCGTGATGAAGACAGAACTGACATTGAATTAATTGTCTATGACTCCTGGAAAATATCAGGCAAAACAGCAGAAAACACCTTTAATAAAACCCATACATTCCACTTTCTGTAAGATTATTTTCAAAGTCCAACAGACCAGCCATTTGTAAACCTTAAAGTTTTTTTTTTTTTTTTTTTATTGTCGGGACAAAGCTTGTTAAGTAGTAAAGAGGTCACTGTCCTGAGGCCGTTGTTCAGAGACCACCCAAACTTGAACATTCTTCCCTAAATGTAAACATACCCGGAGGCAATGGATCTCTTTCTTCCCTTAGCAGGGAGGATGTGGCCAGGACCCCCCCCAAGAAGCCCTCTCTGCTTCTTTGCTTCCCACCTCAGGGACTTGGGGTCTGTAGCAGGTTTCTGATTCTGTTAGACCCCTGCAGGCTCCCTACTGAGAGTATTTTGAGATTATGGCCGTTTGGGTCTGGGGCTGTTTATTACAGCATCCTTTACATGATCACTTACGGGGTGGCTCATGCTGCTTCTTTGGAGACAGCCTTTAATTGTCCAGCCCTTCTTCCCCAGTAGGTGCTTTCCCTGGGGCAGCTGTCCAAAGTGTTCCCCATCCTTTCTTCCCATAGCTCCAGGCTACTGGTCTCAGATCCCTTTAAGCCTGAGATTGGTAGAGTCTATGCTAGAATGCTTTGGAGCTTGGGTTGTAGCAGGGCTGTGTCCTGGCCCAGCGTCTTTAACATGCCTTCTGGCAACTCAGATGCCCAGAATGATCATAGAAACTGTAAAGACCACTCTTAATTATGTGATAAAATCCAAGTCTGTTTTTGATTCAGTGTTAATCTCTAAGTCATTGTCCAGCTCAGTTTCTAGACACAGGGAGTTTTCACAACTCTCTCCCCATACTTGTGTTTCCCTCTCCCTCTGACGTCCTTTCCCTCATCTTTCTGGTGAGCTTTACTTACCCACTGCTCCCAACCTGGAGGCCTCTAGTAACTTTTCCAGAGGGAATACCAGTAAATGATCAGCTTTCGCAACCAGATCTCGTCTGCGTTTGGGTAGATATTTCTGCCCAAAGGCTCTCATAACAGTATACTGTAGGAGCCATCACATTGAGATGATGTGCACATTAAGCTTGCTCCATCTATATTATATGCTCTATACTGTATCTATCCTACATCTATACTATATCTCAAGTATAACAAGAAAATGGAACTAGATTCCAGGGGCCTTGAGCTCTTCATGATACACTTATTACTGCTGCTTAAGGCTGGATTAGGGTTAGTTTTGTTTTTAGTTGCAGTTTTTTGTTTTTGTTTTTGAGAATAGAGCCTTAAAAGCAAAGACTCCTGTCATGATGGGTGTGTTCAGTAGTCCTTAGCTGTGAACTGCTACCCTGACATACCTAGGCCCACGTGCTCATCTTTCTAACCTTAAAAGTTGCCTTTGAGTGACAGGTAAGAGGCTAGGTGAAAGATTCTGCAGGTGCATTCAGGGGCTTACGGCAGTCCAAGTGGGAGAGAAGGTATCTGACTGACAAAGCTCAAGGCGTTCTGGTAAGAATACAGACGGATATGAGACGTCACAGCCCGCATCTCATCTGATGCCTGGTTTGAATTTGACTGAACTTACACCAACTGCTGTTAGTCCGTGGCATGGGTTCTTTTTTAAAGGAAACAGTGAGGACATGAAAGCATATTTTTCATTAGGTTGGGTTCAATACATGGAGACTTTCCTGTGCCAAAGCCACGAAGTGATCGTCCAAGACAGCCTCGCATGATAGAAGAGCAGCGGGCAATGCCTGCTCAGGTTTGTTTTCCAAACACTGCCTTTTTTTTTTTTTTTTTTTTTTTTTTTTCTCGAGACAGGGTTTCTCTGTAGCTTTGGAGCCTGTCCTGGAACTCCCTTTGTAGACCAGGCTGGCCTCGAACTCACAGAGATCCTCCTGCCTCTGCCTCCCAAGTGCTGGGACCAAACACTGCCTTTGAGACTAACCTATACCTAATATACATGCAGTTGGGTGTGGTGGTATAGAGCTTTAAGGCAGGGGGGGCTCTGGGAGGTGGAGGACTTCCACAGCAAGTTCTAGGCCAGGCTAGCCGGAGCTACATAGTAACACCCTGACTCCATAAAAAAAAGTCATAAATATCTAAGTGTTAGGGTCTAGAGTCAGGTTCTGGTCATTTAAATATTTAAAATGTCTCAAACATTTTGTGGATTGATCATTTTAACTCATTTTCTATGTTTTTAATAAGTTCTCCTAAACCAGAGTTTCTCACCCTAAGTGCCCTCAGCATTTAGGGCTGTAATTCTTACCGTGAGGGGATTGTCCTGGGCACTGTAAGATGTTTAGACTTCATATCTCCAATATTGGCAAGTGACCCCTGTGGGGGCCCCGCTGGGGCAAGATCGGGTCCAGTCAAGAACTACTGTCCTAAACTATCTATTGTGACTTTATGTTTCATCTAAAGACAGGATATAGCGGTTTGGTAACATCCTTCTACTAATAAGAATATAAGAATGGGGGGCTGGAGAGATGGCTCAGAGGTTAAGGACACTGACCGCTCTTCCAGAGGTCCTGAGTTCAATTCCCAGCTACCACATGGTGGCTCACAACCATCTACAATGAGATCTGGTGCCCTCTTCTGACATGGAGGCAGAACACTGTATTGTATATGTAATAAATAAAATCTTAAAAAAAAAAAGAATATAAGAATGTTACTGAGGTGAGAAGACTTTGAACTAAATTTTAAGGCCTGTAAAAAAGCTGGCAAGCCTAAGCGAAGCCTGGAAGCTCGGGTATGCAAACCGAGAAGGGAAGGTCGGTGACACGTGAGGGTGAGCCGGGTTGATGATGCCTTTCTTTTCCAGTTGAAGTGCATGGAGGAATCTCATCAAGAAGCAACTGAGAAAGAAGTAGAAAGGATCTTGGGGTTGTTGCAGACCTACTTCAGAGAAGACCGTAAGTATGGCACCGAGTTAAAGGGTGCGGCCGTTTGTGTTGATCGGGTGTGTACTTTCTGCAAGGTTATTTTGGCTAAAAGGCATTTCAGTTTTATATACTTGATATTATGATTCCCCCACTCCCCCTTCTCTTCTAAGTAGTCTGTTGCCCAGGCTGGCTTCCAACTCATGGTAATCTCCCTGCCTTAGAGTCCTGAGTGCTGGAATTGCAGGTTTACGAAACAACGCCTGTCTCATTTTGATTCTTTTTTCTGTCATATGTATTTATTGAATCTTTTCCCCCCTTAATACCTCACATGAGGATGTTGATAAAATTACTTATTTTAAGTCGACCGATGGTGGCGCACGCCTTTAATCCCAGCACTCAGGAGGCAGAGGCAGGCGGATCTCTGTGAGTTCGAGACCAGCCTGGTCTACAGAGCTGGCTCCAAAGCCACAGAGAAACCCTGTCTCGAAAAACCAAAAAAAAAAAAAAAAAATTACTTATTTTAAAAAAATCATTTTTTTTTAAAAAGATTATTTTATGTGTACTGGTGTTTTGCCTGCTTATGTGCTTTTATTCAACATACATGACTGGTGCCTATGGAGGCCAGAGAGGGTATTGGATCTTCTGGAACCAGAGTTATAGGTAGTTGTGAGCAGCCATGTGGGATGCTGAGAGTCCAACCCTGGTCCTCTGGAAATGCAATAAGGAATGACTTTTAACTGCTAAGCCATCTTTCTAGTTCCTAAATTTTTTTAGACAGGCTTATGTATTTGAGTGTCTGCTGGCATGTATGTATGTGTACCAGGTTCATGCAGTGCCCTAAAAGGCCAGAAGAGGGTGTCAGATCCTTTGGAACTGGAAACTGCCTCTTATGGGTGCTAGGACCAAACTCTGGTTCCTCTGCAAGAGCAGCCAGTGTTCTTAACCTTTGAGCCATGTCTCCAGCCCCGATAAAATCAAAGTATCATCTGCCTTCCTCTTGTTTCCCATGAGGGTCCCTTGTCAAATACAAGATGCCTGTTTTTATAGTGTTTTCTGCTGGTTTTGGGGGTTACTTTCATTTTCCTTTTCTTTTCTTTTTTCTTTTTTTGGTTTTTCGAGACAGGGTTTCTCTGTGGTTTTGGAGCCTGTTCTGGAACTAGCTCTTGTAGACCAGGCTGGTCTCGAACTCACAGAGATCCGCCTGCCTCTGCCTCCCAAGTGCTGGGATTAAAGGCGTGCGCCACCACCCACCACCCGGCTCCTTTTCATTTTTCCAAGCTAATCATGATACACGCTTTCTGCACTGTGACCTTTTCCTATAGAACTTCTCTATCATACAACTTTTCCTGATTTTCAGGGATTCCCATGGTTTGGCTCAATCATAGTGTTAATAATCCTTATCACTAGGGGCTGGAGAGATGGCTCAGAGGTTAAGAGCATTGCCTGCTCTTCCAAAGATCCTGAGTTCAATTCCCAGCAACCACATGGTGGCTCACAAACATCTGTAATGAGGTCTGGTGGCCTCTTCTGGCCTGCACAGGCATACACACAGACAGAATATTGTATACATAATAAACAAAAAAAATAATCCTTATCACTAGAAAGACTCTTTGTTGCATTTTACTATTGTACTAACTGCTGAGGTGAAAATCTTTGTGTAACTTGGTATGTCTGGGCCCTTATTCTTTTTTTTGTGTTTTGATGATTATTATTTCTTTTTCTATAGCTGATACGCCAATGTCCTTTTTTGATTTTGTGGTTGATCCACATTCTTTCCCCCGCACAGTGGAAAACATCTTTCATGTTTCCTTCATTATACGGGTAAGCTTTTAGAGTTTTCTAATATCGTTTTAAATTAAAAAAAAAACCTTCTATTTACCAAAGTACTTTCTTAAACAAGGGCATGTTTGCCAGTGGTCCCAATGATAGACTTATGTGTAATAAAATGTGGGCGGTATATGACAGACTATGAATAAATGGGTTAAGAACAAGGCAGTTGTTCCTAAGAGTCTCTCGGGATTGAGGGCTGATGCGCTGGCACAGCGGGTAAGAGCTCTTGCCAGTTCTGACCTGAGTTTGATCCCCAGGACCTACAAGGTGGAACCAACATTTACGAGTTGTTCTCTGACTTCCACGGGTGCACCATAGTGCCACTCCAGTCCCCCAAAGAATAAATGGAGGAATAGTAATAAAGTCAGTATGGAGTCTCGTAGTGATGAGGGGGCCGGCTTGTTGGGGTTTCTGCCCTGCCCTGTTCCCCACAGCCGGCAAGCCCCAAAGAAAATCACACAGTCTCTACATTAGGTTATAAACTGATTGGCCCATTAGCTCAGGCTACTTATTAGCTCTTGTAACTTATATTAACCCATTATTCTGATCTATGTTAGCCATGTGGCTCAGTACCTTTTCACAGCAGGGGCAGATCACATGTTGCTTTTTCAGAGGGCAGGAGTGGAAGGAATGGGCTTCCTCCTTTCCAGAATTCTCCTGTTCTTATCGCCCGCCTCTACTTCCTATCTGGTGACCCGCCTATACTTCCTGCCTGGCCAATCAGCATTTTATTAAAAATACATGATTGACAGAATACAGATAATTCTCCCACACCAGAATCTGTGTCCAGTAAAAGTTCATTCGGAACCTGAGCAGTAATCTTTTGTGAAGAAAGATGTGAGAAAAGTCTTGTCTGGAAGTTAGGATTCATTGTGGCTGTCTGAAGTATAGATTTTCTGACTGATGAAGCTTTTTCATGCAGTAGATTTTGGTGTTTGTTTCAAACCATGTTTTTATTTTAGGATGGTTTTGCGAGAATAAGACTTGACCAAGACCGACTACCAATAATAGGTAAACTATACTATGTTCATAGAAGTTAGTTTTAGAAAATATTAAGAGTTTATGAGATGTATTTTATATTTTATTTGACTAAATGTAAGGTTTTCATTTGTTTTTGTTTGTGTGTGTGTGTGTGTGTGTGTGTGTCAGTGTGAAATGATCATACTCCATGGCTCAGGCTAGTCTGGAATTTGTTATGTAGTCCAGGCTTGCGTTTGAACTCCCAGTCCTCCTGCCCCAATCAATCATGGTGCTGGAATTACAAGCTTCTGTTTTTTTTTTTTTATTATTATTTTCTTTTTTTGAGACAGGCTCTCTCAGTATAGCTCTGGCTGTCTAGGAACTTGATTTGTAAACCACACTGACCTCGAACTCACAGAAATCTACCTGCCCCTACCTTCCGAGTTTGGGGATTAAAGACTTATGCCACCATGCCTGCTTTTATTATTTTAAACCGCAGAAGTTGTGTGGCTGAGACAGTCTCACCATATAACCCTGGCACCTGGAACTCTCTATGTAGAACATGATGGCTTTGAATTTAGAGAGCCACCCGTCTCTGTCTCCTAGGTACTGGGATTAAAAGCATGTGCTACCATGCCTAATAACTTCCCATTTTATTTTTGGTTGTTAGCCTAGCCTTTTATGGCTGAGCCATCTCTCCAGCCCAAGTTCCCATTTTAAATAAGATTTATACAAACAAAAATTCAGTCTATCCCTCCTGGTTGACTGAAAATATAAGCATGGTTTAAAACTGATGGATTCATCGGTATCATTAATTCACTATCTGATGTAAAGATTGATAACGTGATAAATGCCCCTACATTTCAGTAGTGTTTGTAGTGACAATCATTTGTGTGGCTTCCTTCTTTCTGACCAGCGCTCTCCATTGAGGTTCTGTGCCGTTTCATTCTTACCTACACACGACCTCTCTCTTACTCATGCCCTTGTGAAGTCTTGTGGAGCATGAAGGACTTTGATGGCAGTTACTTATCACATGTTCTCAGTTTCCTGTTGGGCTGAGTTTTAACTGAGTGGAACAGTTGTGCATGGGATTCTAGGAAAGACATACAAGTCTCTTTTCAGTAGAAACTTCACACCTATTATCAGTTGCTCTTCAACTTACCTGTTCCGATTGATGGTGTTGGAAACTGTCTTTCAAACAGAGCCAGTGATTAATGAAGAAAATGAGGGAATTGAACAGAACACGCAAATGAGGAGCCAAGGAATTATAGCCCTGAGTTACCATGACTGGGAGGTAAGGCCTTGCAGGCTGCCCAGTGCAATTCTGTGACTTCGTCTGCTGTAAACCCACTGCCTGAATGTTCCTGTTTCCGACCAGGAGATTGTGAAGACCTTTGAGATTTCTGAGCCTGTGATCTCTATGAGTCAGAGCCAGCAGCGCCTAAGTGCCTGATGCCAGCTGAAGGTAACATTTCCTACACCATAGTCACACAGTTGTGTTAAAATTTTATTAGGCAGCTCAAACCATAGTGTTTTCTCATTCCCATGAAATTTGGGGTTTGCCTCCCTCTAGTGTTATTCCTAGAACTGTGCACCTAGGAAGGAAGGCAGGAGGCAGGAGGCCAATGGCTGTCCCTCAGGATTCCTTACTTTGGTGTGCTTAAAAGATCTGTAGATGAAAGAGCAGGACAACTCTTAATTGGTTTGTTTTCACCTAACGGTGGACGAGTGCTCTGGACGCCTCCCCAGTGTAGCTGACTGTTCTGTTCCGTATATTTAATAGACATAAAGCAGAGATGAGTATAGAATTGTCTTGGAGCAATGCGAGTAAATGGACATTTCTTTTTTTTTTAATTTATTTATTATGTATATAGTGTTCTGGGCACCAGATCTAATTATAGATGGGTGTGAGCCATCATGTGGTTGCTGGGAATTGAACTCAGGACCTTCAGAACAGCAGTCAGTTCTTTTAACCTCTGAGCCATCTCTCCAGCCCAAATGGACATTTCTAAAATGAGTTATGCTATGCAAAATTTGATTTATACAAAGGGAAAGAGCTCTGGAAGGAAACTGTAACAATGATATGGTGATATTCTGTATTGAAGACAGCAGCGGGTGGAAAGGACCAAGTACTGTGTATAAACTCAGTATGTGTTTCTATCAATGGAACTTATTTTGTTTCAAGATAGCTTACCTCTGTCAGACTCTTGAGGGAAAGGGAACTCCATGAGGAGTAGAGTGGCTTACCTGGCCCTGCACTGACAAGGGGCTAGTCACTAGATGTATGTGTGTGTATAACATGTCAACGTGTCAGCTATTAACCAGCTATCTTCCTTTCATTTTTTTTTCTTTTTTTTTTTAGGACTGGAGGCAATAGTGAGATCCTGAAAAGAAAGAAGCATATACTGTATATATGTATGATTAAATGTTTTTTAAAGATGAAGATTGTTTTTTGTAAAATGTAGCTTTTGATAGTTAATAGATTTGTCCTGGTTGTCTTTAATTAAAAGGAAATTCACTGCCATATTCACAAATGATTGTTTTTATTGTCTCTTGGGATATGGTCCCCCTTTTTTCTAGTCCAAAAAAGTTTTAATTAGGTTGTCAGTGTGTAATTATTATAGTTTTTAAAAAATGTTTCTTTAGTTGTAAAATTAGCTGGCCAAGCTAACAGACCGCTTGTGCCAAATGAAACTGGTTTTTTGTAGATTAAAAACAATCAAATAAAGCCGTACGGTGGTGGTGCATACCTTTAATCTCAGCAATCCGGAGGCAGAGGCAGGCAGATCTCTGTGAGTTCGAGGCCAGCCTGGTCTACAAGAGTTAGTCCCAGGAGAGGCTCCAAAGCTATAGAGAAACCGTCTCAAAAAAAAACAAAAAAAACAAAAAAAACAAAAAACCGATCAAATATTTTTTATTTTTTATTTTTTTGGATTTTCGAGACAGGGTTTCTCCGTAGCTTTTTGGTTCCTGTCCTGGAACTAGCTCTTTTTTTTTTTTTTTTTTTTTTTTTGGTTTTTAGAGACAGGGTTTCTCTGTGGCTTTGGAGCCTATCCTAGAACTAGCTCTGTAGACCAGGCTGGTCTCGAACTCACAGAGATCCGCCTGCCTCTGCCTCCCGAGTGCTGGGATTAAAGGCGTGCGCCACCACTGCCCGGCTGGAACTAGCTCTTGTAGTCCAGGCTGGCCTCAAACTCCTTTGTTTTATACTATAATGCATTTAAATATTGAGAATAGTCTCAAAACTTGGGTGCTTACACTTAAAAAGACTAGATCTATGTTAAGTCATTGGTCATTTAAAAACACAATAAAATTATTTCTCAGGTCTTAAAATATCTGTAGCAATATTTTTTTTAACCATATTTCACAGGAAATTTCATTCTGGAAACCCCTCCCCTTCCTCCATCGTTAACCAGTCACTACCTTTTTTTATAGTCTTTCTGTCCGTCTTGCTCAGGCTGCTGCCCAGACACATGTACTAGCTATTATTTTGTCTGCTCAAACCACTTGCTGTTTCCTAGTGATTATCGCTGCCTTCAAGATTTTATTTACGTTTGTGTATGTGTGTATATGATGCATGTGTGTATACACATGCATGTTTGTGTTAAGAGCACGTATGTGCCACAGTGCACATCTGGTGGTTAGAAGGTGGTCTTTGGTCCCGGTCCTCTCCTGCCACCTGTTTAAGGCAGTGTCTTTTTTGTTAGCTGATGCACTGTGTGCTACTTACTGTCTCTGTGTTTCTGGGGACTTTGTTTCCACCTTCCATCTTGCTATAAGAGTACTGGGATTACAGACATGTGCACCCATGTCTGGCTTTACATGAGTTCTGGGGATCTGAACTCAGGTCAACAGGCTTGTGTAACTGCTGAGTCCTCTCCCCTGCCCTGCCTTCAGGCCTTTAAAAGTGTAAACCTTCTAGTGATGTTCAGAACCTTGCAGGACATTCAGCCCTTTGTCTCCATTTTCAGGATTACTTCTGAACACTAGCAACCCTTCCTTTTTGTCGGAACAGCTTTGCCGAGAGTTCACCCACAATCCAGCTCATCCAATTAGGGTATGATTCAGTGCCTTAAAATCAATGGGGCATGCAATCATGACCAAAAAATACTATAGAGCACCCCTTCCCCCATCCTATGCCATCAGGCGCCATTCTGTCCTCATTTAACTTTTCTACTCCTTAGCCCTAACCTCAACACCGTGATTTTTCAAGTACGTATGTCTAGAGCTTCTGTTTTCCCCTTTGATGTCTGTTTTCTATGACCTTATTGTACTAATTACTATAAATTATGCCAATTAGAAAGAAATACAATAATCAAGGAAATAACTTAAGCTTTTTTTTCCTTGCTAGTTGACTTTTCAAAAACGGTGGCACACTCAAGAGCTCTCTTTGGCATGGTTTTTGCACTTTATCCACTTTCGACTTTTCCATCAGAATAGTCACCTCGATAAGTTTTTCCTTGGAAGGCTGGATGATGGGGTATGCTGTGACCTTTTCAAGCTCTTTCTCTTCCTCCTCCTTCACTTGGGGTTTTAAGAGTGGACGGATGCGGCTGATGAATTTTTGAGTCTTTCTTTGCTCGTTCTTCTGCTCTGTGAGTTCCCTTGCCTGCATCATGCGGTCTTTATGTCGCTTCATCTGTTCCTTTGCCCATGCAACTTTGGGCTTTTTGGGTATAGTTTTATGTGTTTTCTGGATAGTTTTATTCTTTTCATCTTCTGGTATTAGTGGTTTTGGGGAAAGGGTTTCACTTGGAATTCTCTGAGGTAGTAGTCTGTATTTGTTGTCCCTGAGGCCTCTTGCCCGTTCGGCTCTCTTTATGTGTTTTTCTATATGATTCATTTCCCTCTTAGACACTAGATAATCCCATTTTTTAGTGTTGTCTGGTATTTTGCTTCTTGACTTCTTCTCTTCCTCTGGGTTAATGACCCATTCTGAATCTGGTATATAATTCCATGCCTCTTTGATCATTTCCTTATGTTGCTGATAGTAGTAGGAATCTGCCTTAGCAAACCGGAAGTCAAAAGACCTGGTCTTAAGTTTATCAACTGTTTCACTCTCCTGTTGGAACTCCTGGACTAACAGTTTTCTCACTCGTGAAGAATGGGTGCCACCTAAACTCTTGTCAGAGGGAGCAATCAGAACTTTTAAGTTGGATGTCCTTTATTCTAGTTCCATAGTAGAGCCCTCAGTGGGCTATTAACCCTGTCTGGCACACCTATACCACACCCAGTTTAGATCTAAGATTCTCCCCCTTTAAGCCTCCTACACTCCTCCCCCAGACCATGATCTGTCCTAGGACTCCCTTGAGAAAATGGAAGCACCCAATAGACACCCCCCACCATCACCACCAGAGCCACCACCCATCTATCCCAGACTCTACCTTCCTGCTTTTATCTTATCAAAACCTAATTCTTCACCTGTGCTTGTTGAACTTCAAGGATTTCACTTCTCTATCATCAAAGCTGCCTGCCGGTTCACTTAAATAGGCATAAAGTACACCTCAGCACAAATGATCTTCAAACAAAAGAGACTCTTCCTTACTTCAGGTCCATGGCTTTTACGCCTCTGCAATCTCATTTGCTGAATACCCCTAGGATTCTCCCCCCCCCCACGCACACACCGTATGGCTACCCTTATATCTGCCATACTAGTCTGTCCTTAAGATACAGAGTGCTCATACTGAGCCCTTCTTATATGGATGCTCATTCAACAGGGTCCTCTTCCTTGGGTTGGTCCATCACTGATGTAGGCTGAACAGGATCTATAAGCCACAGTGATGATGGGCATCAAAGAACCTCCATATGGAGTACTTCCCTGCTCTCACCTCTCAACTTCAGTCCTGGTTTAATTCATTTATTTACTGTTTTTCTTTTCCAAAACAGGGTAGCCCTGGCTGTCCTTGAATAAGGCTGGCCTTAGCTCAAATATCCACTTGCCTCTGCCTCCCAAGTGCTGGGATTAAAGGTGTGCACCACCACTGCCTGGGAGACTTGGTTTACTTGATATCTCTGCTTGCTTCTTTCTCCAGTTTTTACCTTTTCAGTCCTATCACTTCCAGCTTTAGTCATGTTTTCCTTTAATTCTCTTGTCTCTACCACAAGGTGTTCGCCCAGTTATCTCCGTCTACACTGTTGTCCTGTCTTCCCAAGCCCGTCAAACTAATCACTGTAGGCAGAGTTACCTTTGTATTACATAAATCTGAGCATGCCATTTCATAAACCTTCCTGCATAAACCTTGGGAAGGAAGCTCCTACATTTAGGAGAGAATCTCACATTCCAGTATAGTGTGCACAGCCTCTTATTAATCCTCAAACCATGTTTTCCGTTCACTGTATATTCACTAAGCTTCAGCCACACTGAATTCTGTTCCCTAAGACAGTATTCTCTGTCCCATGTGAATACACCTCCCAAATACACATCAGTAACTCTGATAAACATTTTTACAGACTTTAAAATCTTGGCTGGCATACCACTTCCTTCAGCCTTCTCAGAGAAAACCCAGTCCTTTAGTGACATCACAGTTTGTGGGAACTATTTCTGTGTTGTCTCTTACTTGAACAAGTACTGTGAGTACAAGTAGCTGTCTGTTCAATGCTGTCCAGCCAGCACTGCTGAGAACCAAATTCAGAACTAAGCACGGGTCAGGACATTCTCCCCTAAAATGCTGGGGCCCTCTTACCTCCAATAAACTTTATGACCTTATTACAGAATCCAAAGTTCATGGCAAATGCATTTCCTCACCTTAATTTTCTTTTCTAGTGGGGAATAGGAACCTACTGCAATCCGAGGGTCTTGAGAACTCCTAGCCCAGGCCAATCTAGGAGAGAAGAGAAATTACACTGGGACCGGAGAAGGATGTCAGGGAACGAGCTCTGGAATGAACTGCAGAAGGGAGTTGATTGGGGACCTGCTTTTCATAGGTAGCAGAAGGCCCTTCTCTCTGCCAACAGGTGGAACTCTGTGTATGTTTAGCTTCTGTCTTCACCAAAATGAAGGCATGTTTGTACTTTTGATTAAAGTCTACACAAGGAGCCATATTTTGTTGGGGGTTGTAACTGTCAGAAACAACCTTAACGCTGGAAAGACTGAGTTGCTGTTGCTGTTTCAATTACCACAAAGCACTGTACATATATTAAGTGGAAAAAATGTTTTGATATGAAAAATTTCAAATATAACTTTATTTTAATTGAAGCTGTATGTAAATATATAATAGATTTCCCACAATAGTTACCTAACTATAATATTTCGTGATTCTTACCATTTAAAAATAAATTATTTATTTTGGTTGTGAATCTTGCCTTTAATGGCTGAGCCATCTCTCTAGCCCATCTTTCTCTCTGCCTGCCTCCCTCCCTTTCTGCTCTCTTTCTCTCTCTCTCTCTCTCTCTCTCTCTCTCTCTTTCTGTCCCTCCCTCCCTTTTTTCCCTCCCCCCCCCCCCCCCCCCCCCCGTTCCTTCAGACAGGTTTGTAAAGAAATGGCTCCTTTAGAGGCAACTTTCTGGCTTAGTCCTAGTGGCAAACA